ACCATTCTCTTACACCAAAATAAATTCAAAATGGTTGAAATACCTCAATGTGAGACGAGAATCCATCAAAATCCTAGAGGAGAACACAGGCCTCAACCTCTTTGACATCCGCCACAGCAACTTCTTACTAGACACATCTCCAAAGACAAGGAAAACAAAAGCAAAAATTAACTATTGCGACTTCATCAAGATAAAAATCTTCTGCACAGCAAAGGAAACAGTCAACCAAACTAAAAGTCAGCCTGGAGAATGGGAGAATATATTTGCAAACAACATATCTATAAAAAACTTGTCAAACCCAATGCCCAAGAACCAAGTAATCCAATTTTAAAATGGGCATAAGACATAAACAGCCATTTCTACAAAGACATACAATCTGCTAATAGACACATGAGGAGATGCTCAACATCACTCATCATCAGGGTGAAAATCAAAACCACAATAGGATACTACCTCAGAACAATCAGAATGGCTAAAATCAACAAAACAAGAAACAACCAGAGCTTATGAGGATGCAGAGAAAGGGGAACCCTCTTACCCTATTGGTGGGAATGCAAACCGGTGCAGCCACTCAGGACAACAGTATGGAGGTTCCTCAAAAAGTTAAAAATAGAGATTCCCTACAATCCAGCAAGTGCACTACTAGGTATTTACACAAATACAAGAACACAAATTAAAAGGGATACATGCACCCCAATAATTATAGCATACTATAGCCAAATTATGGAAATAGCCCAAGTGTTCATGGATGGATGAATGGATAAAGATGTGTCATATATTTGCAATAGAATATTATTCAGTCAAAAAAAAAAGAATGAAATCTTGTCATTTGCAATAACATGGACAGAGCTACAGAGAAAAATGCTAAGTGAAATAAGTCAGTCAGAGAGACATACACCATATGATTTCACTCATGTGTGGAATTTAAGAAACAAAACAGAGGAGCAAAGGTGAAAGAGAAAGAAAGACAAACCCTGAAACAGACTCTCAACCGTAGAGAACCCACTGATGGTTACAAGAAGAGAGATGAGTGGGGGATGGTGGATAGGGATTAAGGAGTGCACTTGTCCTGATGAAATAAAATAAAATGACTATTTTTTTAAAAATCTTTGAAGATTTCAGCCTCCATGTCATGGCAGATGACTCCTTGCCTCTTCTCCGCACATGCTCCCTGTCATTGAATGTCTCTTGTGCATCACTACCTCTTAATCCTGCAAGACTCTCGTGAGCAAGATGCTAGTTCCTGTGTCCCTGCGGATGAGGGATTGTGAAGCTTAGAGCATTCAAGAGACTTTTCTGAGGGAAATCATGGTAAACGTGGAGCAGGACTAAGCTGCACATCTTCACACACCGAAGGCCCTACCCCTTCCCTATTCCAAGAAGAGCAGCTGGTCTACCCACTGCAGGGGCCCCAGGGAGCTGGCTCTTAGCAGACACAGAGCCACCAGCAGAAAAGCAACTCACCATGCATGAGCTAACTGGGTGGGTGAGTGGCCATGGTGGCGGCACCTCAGTGCCTTCATATTCCAAAAGCTGAGGGAGTCCTGTTGCCCTGTTCTGTCCATTTGGACACTTTTTCCACAGAACATCCACTTTCTTTAACACAATTGGGGTGCCCAGCCTTGACCAATGGCCGTTGGGAGCTTCCCAAGAATTCCGAAGGCACTTTGCTCTTCCCCTCCCACTCACTGCTAGCTGGGAACCTATGATGACAGGAGTCTGTGGGAACAATGAGGAAGGGGTAAGAGCCTCCCAGTCTAAGTCAGGACAGCCCTCAAGAGAAAAGCTTGAATGTGCCTCAAAAGTGCATATGGCTGGCAATGCCCAAGAGCATGCCAACAATGACAAGGGGGACGGTAAGGGTGACCTTGGGCTGTGGACACCCTTCTGGGTACTGTTGGCTGAGTATTGAGCTTGACCCAATTTACTCTAACCTTAAGGTAAAGAAGGGGTGAAGGGGGATGTCATGATCTCTGAGATTTTGTACATGTCCAGGTCATTGCAGGGACTGACCTGTAAGCCCAGGCATGTCCCACTCTTGGGACCGGGGGGTGCTGCTCTCAGGACCTGAGCCCTGGACCTACTGCTTCTATCATGGAAGACCCATCATGGCCACCCACCCCTTCCCTGTGGCAGCTCTCAAAAGCAGCTGTTCCGTGCTAGCCAGGGAGCAGGTTGACGTGAGGTGTCTGTCCAGCAGCGTGTGCTCCTTAGACCCCGGCAAAAGGAGAGCGCTCCCAGGTCCAGGGGATGAAAGCATCAGGGAGACCCGAGATGGACACAGGATTCACTCTGGACAAGGAGATGCAGAAGAAGCTGGGGCTTCCCTTCTTGTACAAAAAGCCAGATTGGCAATGAGAGTACCTTAGCTCCTGCCCATTCCTCCTGCTTCAGGTACCAGTGACTGCAGCAGCCTCACTCCCACCAGGGAGGAACGGCCTTCCCAGAGACACCTGCCCAACACCCCATACCCTCAGCAGCTGGGCAAGCTCCCGTCCTGACTCCTCATTCAGTGAGGAGACCGTCAGCCCTGGCTACCCCTCGTCAACGCTTTGTCATGTGCATTGAAGGTGCTCTGTCCCATAGAGCATGATGACCACCCCAGCCAGTCCCCTCTCAGAAACGTGGGGAACATATGAGCTGCCTTCTCAGGGCTTTGTTAACCCCACCACCACCTCTCTGGGCTGCAGGGATGAGGTGGGGACCCTGCCGGGAGCCACTGATGTCTTCTGTTCTTTCCATAGCAGGACTTGGTGCCCCCTCCCATTGTTTTTTCATATTTGTTTGTAAGCTCCTGCCCTTTTTTTCTGGTTCTTACTCTTTTTTGCTCATGTCATAGAGTCTCAGAGGAGGGAAATTCTGTTTCTTACTCTTCTCTATTCCCTTTGGTGGCTTCTCACAACTGCTGGTTTGTTGGCAACAGAAGCTCTTTACAGCTTCTGGCCTGAGACATGAAGCAAGAATTTCCTCTTGTGTTTTTGCCCATGAAGACCTTCCTTCTGGAGTAGTGTGCTCAGGAACCAGCTCCCCAATGGCAGAGGCCATCAGAGGTCAAATATCAGATATGAAGCTTCTCCCCAGGAGTGTAAGGAATGCTCTCAGTACTTGCCAGAGCGTGTCTGCATTCTGGCCATCTGGTCTACCACTGTGCCCGATTCTAGGGGAACACGACCCTGGAGTGTGATTAGCTCACCGAGGCCCGGCAGCACCACAGGCCTGGAAGGACATCAAGGCCCCCTGCTAGCTGCTCCTAGCTCACCAGCCATTTTCAGAAGCAATTGCATGGACATGTCCTGACCGACAGGGTGCCCTCCCCACCTGCTGCAGGGGTTCAGCCTCCAGCTTGACTCCGAGTCTTGCTCAGGTCAGCTAAGTAAGCCAGGAGACACCTTCCCAGTCACCGTTCTGGACGGGGTAGGGCCCCAGGAGCCTGCAGCTGTGGGCAGTGGCTGGAAGGCCCACCAGTGAGCCCAGTCCTGGCCACCCCATTACAGTGATCCAGACACCACACCTGGCACTCGCTGGGGTACACTCCTATAACCCCCATGTCTTTTCCCTGGAGGGCAGTGGCAGGCTCCCAGAACCGGGTCATGGGATGCTGCAGAAGGAGCCCAGCCGGGGCTTGAGCATGGCCAGACACATGGTTTGCAGGCTCTGGACCCAGCACAGCTGCCCTGACCCAAACTCCACACGGCGTGTGGATACTGGGGGTGGGGGTGGGAGTTGGTCCTGCTTGGTCAGGTGGGGCACGCAACCCTGGGCCGTGAGCAGTGAGGGCCATTGCAAGGCTGTTTGGGGAGAAAGTGAGCTCAGGCCCCACGTGAGTCAGGTGTCAGGAAGGACATCAAATGCCAGGCCAGTGCACTGAGTGCAGGAGGGAATGTGCGGGGGCGTGGGCGGGCCGTTTCTTCCAGCAGAGAGCAGACCTTCCGGCCGCTGGGGCTCCCTGGGGACCCTGGCGGGCGGGCGGTTCTGCCGGCCCCAGCACTGGGACAGCGCTCTGTGCGTTTGCTTACTTCGACACCCGGGGCCAGGGTGCACTGGTCACGGTCTCCTCAGGTAATTGCAGCCCTGCCTGGCTCGTTCTCGCTCTGGGTGGCATCTCTGGGGGGAGGGGAGCTGGAGCACCAGAGGCCGGGAGGGTTTATGTCAGGGGAGAATCGGGGACCATGTCCTTGTGCAATGCTTTTGGCTACTGGACCCTGGTCACCGTCTCCCCAGGTGAGTCTCCGCTGGAGCTCTCTGTGGGCATTGGGCCAGCTCTCTGGGACCGGCTGCCGCTCTGAGCCTGAGGTCCAGCCTGGGGCCCCGCAGGGCGGCAGGGTGCCCGCTGGGTTCCAGGCCCCGTGGGGACTAGACTCAGTGGCAGAGCCCCTGGTGGCAAGCAAGCTGAGGGCCAGGCAGACAGAAGCCCCGGGACAGGCAGACGGGAGCCCCAGGACAGGCAGACGGGAGCCCCGGAACAGACAGACAGACAGAAGCCCCGGGACAGGCAGACGGGAGCCCCGGGACAGGCAGACGGGAGCCCCGGGACAGGCAGACGGAAGCCCCGGGACAGGCAGACAGAAGCCCCGGGACAGGCAGACGGGAGCCCTGGAACAGACAGACAGACAGAAGCCCCGGGACAGGCGTTTGCCCGGAAGCAGAAGTGTGGGGCCGGGCTTTCTGTGTGCGGGGGCTGGACAGCTGCATCAGCGTGGCTATGACTACTTCGGTGTTTGGGGCCAGGGCACCCTGGTCACCGTCTCCCCAGGTAAGAGGGCCTTCTGTCTGCCCCGTCTGTCCCAGCCCCGGGGCAGAAGTCTCCCGAGACACCCTGGTCTCCGCGGGGCTGTGTGGGGAGCCCAGTGGACTGCTCCTGAGGCCGTGAGGTCCTCGCTGTAGGGAAGAGGGGTTGGCAGAGGGGGCTCTGTGTCTGGGGTGCGCAGACCTGAGGACGGAGGGCATCCGCCAAGGCTGGGCAGCCAGGCAGGGGTGAGGTTTTTGTACACCCCCTAACGGGGCCCTTGGCAATGTGACTACTTTGAATACTGGGGCCAGGGGACCCTGGTCACCGTGTCCTCAGGTGAGTCCTCACAGCCCTTCTCGCTTCTCTCTCTCTGGGGCTTTTTGCTGCATTTGGGGGAGAAACGACGGTGTCTGGGTCTGGGATCTGGAAGGACTGGGGGCAGCCGGGGGCCCAGGAAGGGGCCAGCGGGCCAGCGGCTGCCTACCCTCCTGGCTCGCAGCCACCTTGCCTCCTGGGGCCGTCCTGTCAGCCCCACCGGGTGGGCTTTGAGGTCCGAGGCCTTAGCGGGGCCGACTGCTTGTCCGGGGTCCCCACACAGTTGTCACATTGTGACAACTGGCTCTACAACTGGGGCCAGGGGACCCTGGTCACCGTGTCCTCAGGTGGGTCTTCAGCCTCCCCCTCTGGCTGCACTTGGGGGGATCAGGCTGTTGGGGTTTCTGGGGGCCAGGAAGGGGACAGAGACAGGGGCCTGGAGATGGCCCTGCCCTGAGGACGGCTGCAGTCAGGGACACGGCGGCTTCTTTGGTCGGTCCGGCTACGTTGTCCAGGACTTCTTGGGGGCCACGGCGACTGTGGCATGATCGGTGGAATTGGGCTCTCCGCGGCCGTGTCCCTTGGCGGGGACTGGACTTCGGAGTCCCAGTTAGGGGCTGTCGGCTTGCAGTCAGGCGGCCCAGGCGGGCAGTGGTCTGGCTTCTGTAGGGTCTCAGGGGCAGTGGTAGGGGAGCAGGGCCGGTGGAGGGTGAACTGGAAGATCGGCTTCCATGTGGCCCGGAGACCATGCAGGCCTCTGAGTTGGGGCGATGCCAGCCCAGGCCCCCGGGGTTTTGGTCGGGTGTGGATGGCGATTTCACCACTGTGATTACTATGGTATGGACTACTGGGGCCAGGGGACCTCAGTCACCGTGTCCTCAGGTAAGAGCGGCCCTACCAGGGCCTTTATTTTCTGCTCCTTTCTGTGGGATTTTCTGGGCATCGATGGTGGGTCCTCGGGACATGCCCCCCCGGGGCAGGCTGGCCGGGAGGGGACAGGGACCGGGTGACTTCAGGACTTCCGAGCCTCCTGATTTTCTGATGTGTTCTTAAAACTGGAATAATACCAGCACTCCAGAGCAGTAACTGAGCCCCTGAAGAGGGGGCTGGAGGCTGGGCCGGCCACGAGTGGGCCAGGACCCCCGTGGCCATAGGGCCTGGCGGCTCTTAGACTCTGGCGTCGGCTAAGGAGTGTGCGCGGCTAGCTGTGTTTGCGGGACCACCAGGTTCGCCCCACGTAGAGCGACACTGAAAGACTCTCCTCAGAACTAGGAGTGGTGTTCTGGGCTAGACTGTTTACGATTCTCGGTCAGGAACAGAGCCGTCCGGGCCGGGAGGGACGCAGAGTCCCACTGCCCCTAAAGGGCAGGTCTGGGGGCCCAGGGAGCTCGGCTCCGGGCAGTCAGCGTCCAAGGGAAGGTGGCTTGCTCCTCCCCCGTGTATGATTACTAAACATGGAAGGACAGGATATCTTTGAAGTGGCTCCTGAGAAAAACAGCGGAGAAAACTGTGACTCTAAAATGTCCGAGATTTTCGAGTATATTAGACTATTTAATTGTATCGGGCGATTAACAACCCAGAATCATGTCTTTCTGGAGTCGATCCAAGAAATAGTACCCTGGTGCTGTCGACACCCCGCCAGAGTTGAGTTTTGACGGTGAGAAACTAAGCTTGATTTTGTATTTAATTCAGCGATTCTAGAAGTGGTGGTGCTGAGTTAGCCGAGGTGCAGCGAGCGGCCAGGCACCTGCAGGTGACAGGAAGCAGGTCGCAGGGACTGGCTATTTTAGGAAGCAAGAAAACACACTTGGCAAATTTACAGTTTGTGGTTAGCAGAAGTGGTTTTCGGTGGTTTTGCCCAGCCCCGAGAGGCTGAACACAGCCACGGCGCAAACAACACCTGAGCGATTTGCATTTCTAAAATAAGGCCAAGATGCTGGCAGGAGCCCAGACACTTCCTTTTTTAGCTATCTGAATTTACCTTTTCGGTCTTAGCTCACCAACATCTGAATTATACTCATTTCCAAAGTAAGACGTTTAAGAAATTAAACTGGTCTTGGGGACAGTTTACAATGCGTTCGTGTAAGGCTTTTTTAATTAGTTGTTTCCGCAAACGGTTGTTAACCTCAAACCACCTCCCAGTGTCCGGAAGCACGGTTTTTGCAATCGCTGCGTTCACAGTATTCTAAGTTGGACGATTTTTTCTTCGTGATGAAGAGGCATGTAGATATTCTGATAAAGTTTGCAGACCTCTTTTCAAGCATTCCTGTGGGGACAGGTTTTAGGTGAAACGTGTGTGATTGTCCAGAATGAGTTCAGTGAAGCGTGTTGCTTGTTGGACTCAGAGGAAGTCCGGTCAGGTCTCGACTCAGAAAGGAACTCTGCCGGGCCCCCACGCTGACGGAGCCCCAGCGGAGGGCCCGCCTGGCCCCCTGGCCCACCGTGGCTGGGGGTCCCCACAGCCCCCCGTGGCTTCTGCCACCCGGCCAACTGGCTATGCTTCGACCAGCCGATTTTAATGGATTTGGAGGAATTCTTCAAAGACCCCCACGGTGACCAGGGAGACGAGCTGGTAAGAGAGAAGTTTGTATCTGACGTTTTGGTTTCTGCTTGATAAGGAATCAGTCTGTAATGACCGCTCAGTGACACAATGAGATTGATTTTTATGAGTCCCGGAGTGACCATCGTCTTGGTCACTCACATTTAATTTTCTCTAAAGATCATTTCAAGGAAACAGTTGGAAGGGCTGCCCTGTGGTTTCTTAGCTATTGATCCTATGGCTCAGATGCTCTAACATAGAGAGCCCCTTACGCTATTTTTTGGTTGTAAACGCGGCTTTGGGTGTGAGGTCATTACTGTGCATTTGAAAGTAGTCTACTGCCTTGTAAGGAGCTTTAGGATAAAGAGCAGAATGAGAAGTACAAATTCAGATAAGATGCATCTTTGGTCATATTTCATGATGATTTTTATTTAGAGGGAATTTAGCTAAAGTCAGGGACCTGCTTTAGACTCAGAAGGCAGGAGTTCAGCTAAGGGCAAGTGCCCAGAAGGGTGAAGGCTGTGAGGGGACCATCCCGAGCACCCTTATATCAGCCCAGAAGCAGCACTGCCTATTCTAACGCAAAGATGGGCTTTTCACCCTGATGACAGTGAACACTCCTCGATCCTTGTAAAATGTCCTGATGAATTTTAACTGGCCAGGAAGTATTTTATCCAGGACACTGAGGTGGGAGTGATTGATAATGCTTGGGCACCAGGAGCCAGCTCAGACTGAGGCCATGACAAAATCGGGGGTCCCAGTGGAGAAATCCACAAGGACTCACGAGGGTGGAAAAGGCAGGAGTAAGCACCAGAAGGAACTGACCCCGGGCCAGGCCCATCCATACAGGTTTCCTGGATAAGATGGCTTTAGCTTCAAGGCAAGCAGGTCTGGTGGTCTGAAATTTTCTAGCCAGTCCCAGGCCTGGGCTTTCGGGACTGCACTACACAGGACTATACCGGGCTGCCCAAAGCAGTCCTCAGCTGAGCTGGACCAAACCAGATTGAACTGGCACTTCCGAGCTGAACCAAGACTGAGCTGGGCTGAACTGGGCTGGGTGAGCTGGGCTGAGCTGGGCTGGGCTGGGCTGGGCTGAGCTGAACCAGGCTGGATGAACTGGGCTGAGCTTGGCTGAGCTGAGCTGGGCTAAGCTGAGCTGAGCTCGGCTGAGCTGAACCAGGCTGGGTGAGCTGGGCTGAGCTGGGCTGAGCTGAGCTGGGCTAAGCTGACCCAGGCTGGGTGAACTGGGCTGAGCTCGGCTGAGCTGAGCTGGGCTAAGCTGGGCTGAGCTCGGCTGAGCTGAACCAGGCTGGGTGAGCTGGGCTGAGCTGGACTGAGCTGGGCTGGGTGAGCTGAGCAGAACTGAGCTGGGTAAGCTGGGCTGAGCTAGGCTGAGCTGGAATGAGCTGAGCTGGGTGAGCTGAGCTGAGCTGGGCTGAGCCAGGCTGAGCTGGGCTGAGCCAGGCTGAGCTGGGCTGAGCTGAACCAGGCTAGGTGAGTTGGGCTGAGCTAGGCTGAGCTGACCCAGGCTGGGTGAACTGGGCTGAGCTGGGCTGAGCTGAGCTGGGCTGAGCTGGGCTGAGCTGGGCTGAGCTGGGCTGAGCTGAACCAGGCTGGGTGAGCTGGGCTGAGCTGGGCTAAGCTGGGCTGAGCTGAACCAGGCTGGGTGAGCTGGGCTGAGCTGGGCTGAACCAGGCTGGGTGAGCTGGGCTGAGCTGGGCTGAGCTGAACCAGGCTGGGTGAGCTGGGCTGAGCTGAGCCAAGCTGGGTGAGCTAGGCTGAGCTGGACTGAGCTGGGCTGGGTGAGCTGAGCAGAGCTGAGCTGGGTAAGCTGGGCTGAGCTAGGTTGAGCTGGACTGCGCTGAGCTGGGCTGAGCTGGGCTGAGCTGAGCTGGGTGAGCTGAGCTGAGCTGGGCTGAGCCAGGCTGAGCTAGGCTGAGCTGAACCAGGCTAGGTGAGCTGGGCTGAGCTGAGCTGGGCTGAGCTGGGCTGAGCTGGGCTTAACTGGGCTGAGCTGGGCTGGGTGAGCTGAGCTGAGCTGGGCTGAGCTGGGCTGAGCTAGGCTGAGCTGGGCTGGATGAGCTGGGCTGGGCTGGGTGAGCTGGGCTGAGCTGGGTAAGCTGGGCTGAGCTGAACCAGGCTGGGTGAGCTGGGCTGGGCTGAGCTGGGCTGGGTGAGCTAAGCTGAGCTGGGTGAGCTGACCTGGGCTGGGTGAACTGAGCTGAGCTGGGTAAGCTGGGCTGAGCTGGGCTGAGCTGAGCTGGGCTGAGCTAGGCTGAGCTGGGCTGAGCTGAGTATGGGTGAGCTGAGCTGAGCTGGGCTGAGCTGGGCTGAGCTGAACCAGGCTAGGTGAGCTGGGCTGAGCTGAGCTGGGCTGGGTTAAGTTGGGCTGAGCTGGCCTGAGCTGGCCTGAGCTGGGCTGGGTGAGCTGACCTGGGCTGGGTGAGCAGACCTGGGCTCGGTGAGCTGAGCTGAGCTGGGT